GGCTTCGTGGTCTTTCTAAAAGATTTCAGGTATTGTTATGACTGACATTAGAAGGAAACATATAAACTCTGTCTCTCTCTTTCTCCCTCTCTCCTTCCTATGCACGTGACTTGGTGATTCCCTGTTGAGCATTCTATTACAAATCTTCCATTTATTAGAACTATTGGTTCTGTGTTTCCATTAATTGTTTCTGCTCTGACGAGTGGGTTTAGCCTATTCAGAGTTTATTAACATTTTGCAGGTCAATACAATCACAGGGACAATGGAAGCTTACTGATCAATCAGTGGAGATTCCTCCGTTCCCCGTGATGAATCCTGCACTAGCATTTTTCCACATCCCAATTCCAGAAATCCGTCAAGGTCCTATTAAAAATATTGTTGGCACGTACCGGGAATATGTGGCATGTTCATTGGTGAACTCCGGAGTCTTGAAGACCTTTATCTCTATGGGGGATGTTAAAGCTTTTTTTATAGGTCATGATCATAATAATGATTATTGTGGGAATCTAGAAGGTATGTGGTTTTGCTATGGTGGAGGCTTTGGATATCATGGTTATGGTGTAGCTGGTTGGCCTAGAAGAGCAAGGGTAATACAGGCAGAACTTGGGAAGGGAAAGGAAGTCTGGATGGGTGTGGAGAAGATCAGGACGTGGAAACGACTAGATGATGGTGTATTGACCAAGTTTGATGAGCAAGTCTTGTGGGACATTCATTCATCAAGATGAAAGTATCAGGTACAGACTGTTCATTCTATATGGTTATATGAGTCCTATGTTGCTCGGACTCTTCAAAAATGTCAATGGGTGCGTGTTGGATTCTCCAAAAGTAGTATATTTTAGGAGAATCCGACACGGGTGTGGCATCGAAAGTGAAGAGTCCGAGCAACTATCCATATATATTTTTTTTTAACTTTTTATATTAATGGGAAAATGCATAAGTACTTCCTAGCCTATGCCCAAAATCCCCGATACACACCTAATCTTTACTAAGGTCCTATTACCTCCCTGAACTTATTTTTGTTTATATAGCCTATTTGGTCAAACTTCTAAAATCAACTTATTTTAAAAAGTGTTTTTTTTCGTAAGTGTTTTTAGTGAGAAACAATCTATATTTGGCTAATTAGCTCGAAAGATACTTTTGAGCAGTAATTAGTGTTTGATCAAAGCTTTTTCAAAGGTGCGTAAGTGTATCAAACCCCTTTCAGCCCAACTTATTTCAGTCCAAATTACTCGCCCATTTAATAACACAGTCCATTTTGATCCCCCGAATTCATTCAGACACCCCTAGTTCAACTTAACTCGGGGTTCTCTACATGGAACATAGATATATAATGAAAAAAACATAAAAACTTTAAGAGAAAATGACCAAAATAGTCCTTAATGTATAGGGATTACTTTATTTTGATCCTTAATATGTTCCACGTGATCTATATGGTCCTTCATGTATTATAAAGAGTATTTAATTTGGTCTTTTGCCCTAAATATAACAGGTCTCAGTTAAATTTAACAACGGTCCCACTAAAAAAACCCAAACTTTCCCTTTCTCTTTCATCAGTGGCGTGAAAAGCTTGACCCAATTTCCCCCTTCTCCCTCTCTCTTCTCCGACGACCACATTGTTCTAGGCCACCGACGCTCGTCCACCAACCAGTCGCTGCTCTCCACTTTTGTCCCTCCTCCACAGTTTTAACCCTAATTCAAAGTTATGATTTCTAAAAAAATAATTTTATTGTTAAGTTAGAAAATTAGTTTATTTTCTTTCACTCTTAATATTATTATAAGATTTAATCCTATTGTTAGATTTGTTAATGTCCATAGTGAGGGTCAATGGTATATATATGATGGTCACAATTTTTTTAAAACAGATCATGTGTCTGAGACAACATTTTTCAGCATTAAAATTTGCCATATGATGCTGATGAAGTATCAACTGTGCAAATTTTATGTTGGAGGCATTTGTAAAAATCAATTGACATAAGATGAACTTGATCCTTAAATGTTTATCAAAAGCAAAATTCAACTATCTAAACCACACTTTTGAGAAGTAATATTTTTAGAAGTGGAAGAGGAAAGTTCCTTCTATGGCTGAGGCAACAACACCCACAGGCTCTTCAAAACGGAGCTTTTGATGGGAGGACCAGAGAATGAAGGAGAAAGGGAAATATTTTGGGTGGTTTTATTTTTCAGTGGGGCCCAACGTTAAATTTAATTGATGGCTATGTTATATTTAGGGCAAAGGATCAAATTGAGTACTTTTTATAATATATTAAGACCATGTGGAATATATTAAGGATCAAAATAAAGTCATCCCTATACATTAAGGATCATTTTCTCAAAACTTTAACACATTAAATTCTGAACATATAAGTTTGAACTACGATTAGCTCAATGCTAAGAATCTTGAAGGTTGAAAAACTATTAAAGCTAAATCCTAGACTTGCCTCTATTTTTGGGAATAGGAAAAGTTGTCTGTCTAATTCACATTTAAAATATTACTCTCTCCATTCCAAAATACTTGTCAAAATTTTCTTTTTTGATAGTCAAATGATATGAACTTTGACCAACATTTTAAGATGTATTTTTTCATCATATTGATATGGGAATAATTGCAATTTATAGTACTTTTCCTATCATTTTTGTATATCTACATTTTAATTATAAAATATCAAATTAATCTAATCTAATTTAGTTCTGAAAATTAGACAAATTGACTCTTGAGAGGTGAAATGTGACAACTATTTTGAAATGGAGAGAGTATTAATTAGTTAGTTAAAAGAAAAGAAACCTTGACGAATTGGTTCACAAACCTGTTGAGACAACCTATATCTACCTATCTTGATTCATATGATGATCATCCAGCGAACAGTTATTACCATTGAGTCGAATCTAGTCATACATAGTTTGTTGGCTTGTTGTATGGCGGAAGTCACTAGCTAACAACCTTAGCTAGAGTTGTCTTTCTTATTTAATTTCTTGTGTTTGGAACGTAAGCAAAAAATATTGTTCTAATAGCATTTGTATATAATCTAGACAAGATACTATGGAAGGTGGGGTGGGGTGGTTGGGATGGGGGCCACAAGGCTGCGGGTAAAGATGAGACGTGTAATTCTCTCCATGCCCTATGTAATTCAGTTCGCTTATAATCACATGAATCTCGGCTTCATTCTTAAAACCATTATGGTTTCAATCAAATTAACTTTTTTTTTTCTAGAGAAACTAATGTGATTTGATATTTTTCACACCATTCATTCTTGATGGTTACTGATTAATGAGTATGAATATGTTGTGGTTGTTTCTTTTCATGGCTGTATCTCGAATTAGATTTTTTCGCGATGCTTCCTCATTTTCTCATTGCTTGAAGGGATTTACGAAGCACTTACCTCCCTCTATTGTTTTCATTTTCAGGATACACTCAATATATTCGATATGGTGGATGTACACTATTTGCAGTTTTATGAGCATGGTTCATGATTTGGTTGATGTTTCCACTTAAAACTATTGCAGTTTGAGGGTGATTTGTTTCACTTCTGTGAAGAGTGTGTGTTGTAAACTTGTAATGTCCAAACCTTGTAAGAGTAGGCTAGAAATTTGTAATATCACATATAGTAGTTGTTAACAAATAATTAGCACCAATTATGTACCACACCTTACGGTAAGTTGTATTGTCACCACGAATGCATTTCACACGTTAAATACTTTTAGCTGATTATCAAAAAAATGTTCAAATAATCCAAATTCGAAAGGGTAAAGGTGTACAATAGGTATAAAATCAAGTTGAGGTATCTAAATGAATAATACAGACAATTTTATAGAGTTGTCGATGACTTATGCCTATATTTTACTTTTAAAAAGAGGTGTTCAAATGATGAGTAATGGTATTTAGGCTTCAAAGTTTGCGTTAAACTATTTGAAATAAGAAAATATATTGTATCTCCCCATATAATTTTTGACACAAAAACACACTTAGCCAGGTGGCTCAAAAAATATCAAAAACTCATGGGAAGGTAGATAATTATCCCCTAAATTAGTGAAATTGCGTTGTTTGCCCTATATAATAATGCCATCTTGGCCATTTTCATTTAAAAAGAGAGAACAATTTAGGCAAAATTGTATTTAATGTTAAATAACTTGCTAATAGTACTTGCCTATTGGTAAATAGATAAATGGAGATACCAAATAGAATAATTACAAATTCAACTGTTGAGATTTCATATTGCTTAAGGTATACATTACAACAAAATCACAAAGGTCGTATATGATATAAGAGAATATAGAAAATATTTTATCTTGAATTATTTTTTTCTGTATCATTTTCAATGTTTAGTAATAATACAATATGGAGGATATGATGGGGAGATAATTAATGGTTTTATGACGTTTTTGAATGCTAATTATTGATAATAATATGTAAGATTAAAACAATTGAGATAAAGTGAGAATATTATAGCTATGATACTTTTCAAATGAAAATAAGTACTCAGTCAGATCCCATAAATGACATAAATTTATTTTTATTTGGGTTAAATTGTGATCCAAGGGCCAGCTTATATATATAAAGAGTATCAAAATGTTGTAAGATATTTGATTAACTAGCATGATAAATGCAGCCAAAACCAGATCATGAAATAGTTTCAAGATTTTTGTCCCAAATAGCAATTTTGTAATAAGGCTTTAAAGAATACCAGCAATTCAGAGCTTCCTTTCTTGCAAAAACAACAGCGAAAATAAGCACTTCAACAACGATAAGTCGATAACCATTTCTTTCGGCAGACTGCAGATGGAAGAAGATTATCTGTGCAGGATGCTAAAGCACCCAGTTAAACTCTGCAATCTACAATACCTTAAGCAACATGAATCTGTTTCATAACCATCACTATTTGCAGTCCTGTCCATTAAGAACAAAACAATCACACCACTTTCTTTTCAGTTCAGATCTTCAGAATCAAATATTCATAGACTAGAATAAAGTTAGTTAACACTGAGATGTCAATTTGTATCACATGTGAAGTAAATGATAATATGACATTAATCTTCCAACATCATTTCAAATATACTGGTTCAATTACAGGAATTGACAAGATAACTCCACAAAATGATAGATTTATTGTTTGCTCAAAGTTAACTAATTTACTCTAAGCAAAGGGTGAAACACTATGGTTGACGAAGCAAACCATAAACAGCACCTGAAAACATTATACGCCACCTACATATCGACTTCCCAAGGAAAACAAGCCATCAGTGTAAAGTACAGACCATCTCCATCGTCGTGAAGTTAGATTATCTATTTTCTTAAAGCACTTCTTCTCCACATCATACCACTCAAGACTTTCAAATTTAACATCCATAAGAATCTTCCCTTCCTTACAATCCAGAGGAGTGATAAAATCGAAGCCAAAGTCAAACATGCTCAGATCAATAATGTACTCCTTAGCCCATATATGATTCTTTGAATCTTTCAACACCCAAATATCCATGGAAGATACGTCCTCGGGTGAATCAACCAAAAACAACAACCCCTTCAATTCCACCAAAAAACGAACTCCAGCAGGATCAAAACGACCTTCTGGTAACACCACTGTACTAAACTCCTCTTTTCCCAAATCGAATGACACAATTGCATCAATCTTTGTGTTATCATACTTGTCATTGTATCCAATCCAATAACAACTATTTTCAATCAAAATTCCCCACAAACGAAGATAACATGGGCATTTCGAACTAACAATCCACCAATAACAATCTTTCAAACAACAACCATCAGTCCACCTCAAAACCTCACACCCAATTTCATAATTAATACAACGAGCATTGACCAAAACATACTCATTCCTCTCCTTTATATACCCAAAAGCACTACCATCTTTAACATCACAAAAATGAGATTTAGGTAATTTAACTAAATCTTGAGTAGTAGGGTTACATACATAATGTTGGAAAACATATATTCACAGCGGAAGCATACCAGAATCTTTCTACTTACATGAATAATAGATAACCAATATTGTTTATGCTAGACCACATAATCATGCTAGAACACATAAACATACTGAAACTTAATTCGATAAATACCTCTTGAAGCATGAACAGATACCTTCAAGCGAATCCCCAAGTTAGACAGTCCTTCAAGTGAATCTACAAGATAGCCATGGTCTTCTACAGTGATCCCAAGTTCACATCTGAACTCTCTCAATACTAGGGTGGGCAAGTATCGAATAGAAAACTAAACAATCTAGGGCTAGAATAATCCCTAATTATAGAGATTTCTTCAAAGTCCAAAAAGGAGAACCAAACACACATTATTTTTCTTTTAACCGAAAAATACACGCTAGTTTTCTTTTTATAAGAAAACTAACGCCTCTCCCCTTTTCCCTTTAGAATTAGGATTCTGAGTTCTAGTTAAATATGGGCACTGGAGGGACCACATAATTAATTACTGAGGCTTCCTATTATGGAAATAATTCCAAATAATTAATTTGAATTATTCTTACCATAATAAATTACAAATCATTCCACTAGAAATTCGTAATTGCACTCCTCTATTTATATTTTGTAATTCCCCATTAAACACTTATGTAATTCCCCATGTTAAGATTTCAGATACTAATCAATAAATTAAATTACTGACGAATTTAACTTAATGATTAATTTCCTTTAGAGCACTACTTAACTTATTTCATGTGTCGGATTCATAAATCCACTTGCAAGGTTTGACACGATGAAAACTTATAAGTTTCTCAAAAAGGCATATCAATCAATCTCTATAACGAGACATGGATTTCATCAACTAACTTATTATTTCACCAATATATATTATTATCATCCAACTTACCAAGCATATTGACCCATCTCAGAATTTCACCTTTTAATAAATCAAAACGATAATTAATATATACAGATCATAATAGTTATATCAGGATTAAGAATATAAGTACATTTAATAGTTTAGAGAATATGTTTTGTCAGTCAGTCTAAAACAACTATCTCTACTCGGTCCCGTTCAATACATACAAAATGCACTAGCACAAGAAGTTGGAACTATACCGTTCCCATAATCAAGATAAATTACCTATAATCTTGTGCTACAATCGTACCGATGGCATGTCCAATTTCCATCCTAGATTGTGAACAAAAATCTTTATACTTATAAGAACCGATGATTTAATCCTCTGTGTATAAGCTAAAATTCTACACACTAAATCATCTACTATATAAGTAAATAGACACCATAAACGAATATATGATCTATTAAAATTGAGCAAATATTTATTCTATAATAAATATTATTTCTTAACACATGGTTAATAGTATATATCCCAACACATAAAACCCTTGGGTACTAACAAAGCAAATCAACTCCGATTTAGATGGCAACATATTGACATAACCATCCAAAGTAAATGTGAAGTCAAAGTTATGATTTCCTTCAAAATCAATTGATGACAGAGTTAGTCTGGTAGTAGAGGTACCGTAGATTATGCAACGACGGTAGGATTTTTCTTGGAGCAATAGCAAGTTGGGTTTCTGAGATGATTTTTTTCTGTGTAGGGATTTGAAAAATGGGTCATCAATTATGATTCTCCATTGTTTGCAAACGGACCTTAATATGCACAATGACTTTGTGGGTAGCCTTGAGAAGATCTCCATGATAACATCCTTTGACAGTGTTGTCCTCTCTGCTATGGAGGATGGTGAAGCGGCTCTTTATTTTGAGGATTTTAAGGTTTTCTTCTTCTTCTTCTTCATCTTCTGAAGCGGCTCTTGATTTTGAGGATTTTAAGGTTTTCTTCTTCTTCTTCATCTTCTTCTTCTTCTGTCTGGTATTTTGGGGATGGAGGGAAAAGAGAGAGGCAAAGAGTGTTCTATGTTGTATTTTGGTCGTGTATTTTAATACCACTATGTTTATCAGAATTTGGACTTCAAATACATATATTTGGCACGTTGAGATATAAATATTTCGAATATCTGAAGTCAAAATTAAACATAATTTGTTCTAAATATATTTTATTCAAGTGATTCACGTGTATCTAACTTTCTCGTTCGTCACTCTCTTCTCTTGCTTGCCACTTTCCTTTTTCTATTTATCTAGTGTGATTTACATGTATCTGAGATATATTACTAGTCTCTCTCTATTTTTAGTATTTTGTAGCAAAAATACATGTATTTGTCTTGAAATCTAGTATAAAAATATTAATTAGTGAGATAATAAGTAGTAATTATTTCAAAGTACAAGGAGAATTAGTAAATATTTTATCTAGTTGGTTTTTTTTTATCATCGGGTTATCAGTTTTTAACGGTTTGAGGTTTTTTCTTAACAGGTTAACCGATAACCTGATAGTAAATTAATAAATTATATTTATACCATTCATATATAAAGCCATTGACTTAGGATTTAGTTTCATATTTTTGTTCTTGGTAGTCTCAAATTTTTTATTATTCTACAATGTGTTAATGTTGTTTTTGAGCAAGATACAAGATTTATTTGGTTTGTCACAATATTTCTAAATGATTTTCAATTATTTTTTGTGAAAATTTTATAAATGACAATTATTAGACTAATATTTTCAAGTTATAGCAGTAGAATATAATTTTCAAGTTGTAACAATAAAAAATTTCAGGTTGTAATATTTTATTAATTTTTTTTTTTTAAGTAATTGTAAAAAATTGTTTTGAAAAAAATAAAAAGATAAAAAAGGAAAATAAATCGATTTTGAAGAAAAAAAATATAAAAAATGAAAATAGGTGTATTAATTAATTTTGAATTGATTGATGATAATTGTTTATTAGCATAAATTTAGGAGATTCAAACTAATTAGGAATATTTATCTTCCTTAGTTAAAAAATGCTTTAAAATAACAATAAAAATCAATTAGTTTGAAAAATAAATAAAATAAAAACGGATATTTTGGTAGGAAATAATTTGAAAAAATTAGTGATAATTAATAGGAGACATAAAAATAGGAGAGTCATCATAAAAAGAATATTTGTTTTCCTTGTTTAGCTCAAAACAGTTATTGGCATTTTCTCTCACTTGTTTAATTTCGTTCAAACAGATTTTTTTTATTTTTTTCACCATTTCTCTCTCTTCTCAATATTATCTCTTATCGTCATTGTCGTCTAATTCCTATTCTTTTTTATTCAATAATCTTCATTTTTTTTGTAATTGATGGTTTCTTATCAGCAATAATAAAGCACAGTGATAGATAAGGATCCTTCAGGTTAGTGAATTCCAAAATTTTATTTGTATTGGCATATATAAATAATATTTTTCTATTCAGTTTAAATGCTATGAAATTGTGAATGAAAGTTTCTTGATCGATTACCAACACAATGTAAAAAAAACATGGAGCAGTGATACTAGAAAAAAAATTGATTTTTATGTGTATAATATTATTAATTCTGATGTTTTTTTTTATGTAGACTGTTAGATTTTGGTATGAATATTGAATTTGTTCATTCTTTGTTTGAACCATTTTTCATTTTTTGATATGTTTCTGATTAAAAAAAATTACATGAAATTTGTTTGGAATTGGTATACTAGTTATACTAGACATGTATGTCAATTGATAATGTTTTTTGGTACAATTCTGATATAATTGAACTTTTTTTTGGCATTTTATTTGGAATGGATTTTGGGCATGATGACGGAATGAATTTCGTATACTGTTTATTTAGAAAATGACAATTAAAAATGATATTTTTTTTTGATATTATATTGACACGATTCTGATATGAATAACTGATGTCTTTTGGCATGAAATATGTATGAAAAGTGCGCAAAAAATTATTGTCAGGGTTCTAGTATGATTGAACTTTTTTTTGGGGCGTTTTATTTGGAATGGATTTGGGCATAATAATGAAATGAATTTAGTATACTGATTATTTAGTAAATGACAATTAATAGTAAGAAATGATATTATTTTGGTATTATAGTGACATGATTCTGGTATGAATAAGTGATGACTTTTGGCATAAAATATGTATGAAAAAGTGTGAATAAAAATTGTATGAATTTTGCATACTGATATAACATATGTATTTTTACTTTGTATCTTGTAATACCGACACGTTGATTTTTTATGGAACATGCAAATATGTTGATTTTCAGGTGGAGGAAATTATTTATGAATCTTCCAGCCTATATAGTGGTCTCGTAAATGTGACAACTTCATCGAGAGGGCCACAACATGAAGACATATTCAAATTATCCTGCATCAAAAAAGTCATAATTTATAATTGTGACAAATTCATGTTTTGATTTATTTTGCCTTTTAAGCTAATGAATTATTATTTCAGAACATTTATTATGTGTACTACTTAATCATTTTTGTGTATTCATTGTTTTTCAAATATATAGTGAAAAATTGATTAAGTAATACAGATATGCAATTTGTATCGACTGAAAAAATCAAGTCAAATATAAATATGAAATGTTATCCATTTGGTATGCAATTGAAGTCCCATTAAAACTAGTTAATGTAATTTTCAATTGGTATTCATTTGGTATCCAACTGGTGTCCCACTTGAAAAAGATTTAAAACCAGATGTAATTAAGGTATAATTATGTTTGCTACTTTTTTAAAAATAATATATAATGGTCACTGTTTTACATTATAAATTCATTCTTCCCAGATTTATACAAGGTGGATACCAACTTCATATATTTTTTATTTTTTAGTATGTCTTAAATTTTCACATTGGATACTAATTATATACAATTTGGACACCAATTTAGTGTCATTCTTAATTTTCAATTTGGAGATCAATTAGATACAATGTAAGCCAACCTAAAACTATTTCATATAATTTTCAATTGGTGTCCATTTGATTTACAACTGATATCCCAATGCAAAAATAGAAACAAGATGTAATTGAGATTTCAAATTTTTTACAGCAATATAATATGCACTGTTTTTCATTGTCAAAT